GGGTTCCAGGAACCTGTTAAAGCACTTTTCCCTCTGCTGGCAGGTCCCAGCACGTTTGGCACTTCCAGTTCTCCCTGCGGGCATCAGGGCCCAGCAAAGCTGTTTAGAATTAAAAACCTTATTTCATTCCCACTGGGATCAAAGCACGAGGAGAGGGAGGATTTTCAAACCAGCAAACCACATTTGAGCCTGGCTGGTGCACCCCAGGGCCCACCCCCCTATCCCGACCCCCATCCTGGCATTCCGTGCTCGCTCTGGCAGGCTCTTGGCACAGTCTCGGTGATTTTGGCTGGGCCCAACAGCTCCAAACTATCCTGCTGTGCTCYATCTCAAGGGCTCACCTCACCCCTCCAGGTTGGATGAGTTTTCTCCAACCTCTCTTGTTTGGTGCTGTAGGCCCATTTTAACTCAGTGATCCCATAAACCCATTCCCTCATCCCTGGGGTCACCCCAGAGTCCAGCATCCTCAATTTCTGACAGGACAACCTGGACTGGAGCAGGTGTGGTTTGCACCAGACAAGAACTTCCACGGCTCCATCTTTTCCTAAAGCAACTCCAGGGTGAGGAGGGGCTGGCCTCGCTCCCTGCTTTTCCCTGTGCCTGTCTGGAGCAGGCTCATTCCTGCCAGGAATGGGATATCCCTATCCTGTGCCATCCACCCGGGCTCCCAACAGGCTCAGCCTCTCCAGAGCACAGGAGCAGYCCCTCAAGCCCGGGGGGATCCAGTGACCTCCAGCTGCAGGGACAGAGCCATGAAAACACAGAAGCATTGAGTTGGAAAAGACCTTTAAGATCACCAGGTCCAGGCATATCCATGGATAGCCCAACCACATGCATTTTTATGGATATTTTATCCAGCCCTGARTTCMTCCAATCCTGRGTCCATGCTACAAATACTGSATGAAAATCTCCAACKTTTCCTGACSAAACYAAACCCACCAAGAYAAGCCGGTGAGGATCCATCCCAGCMAACTCTTCCCAGATCTCTTCAGCCCAGGCTGCGCCTTCAAAGCTGGGGCAGGAATAAAGCACACGGGAGACAGCCAGGATTCCATAGGAAAAAAACCCTTTTATTTAACAATATATCAGGTTCCATCACGGCTCCATGGAGTTCAGCTGCCACAGAGCTGTTACCGATGCCGATGATATGCTACTGGGCGGGAGAGCTGGGAGAAGGCGAAAGGAATCAAAACCAGGAACATGACACGAAGAAASAAAATCTGCGGCGCTGGGAGCGCGGCCGAGGGGATCCCGGCACCGCCGGAGCCCTACTGGGAGCCGAGGAGGATCAACCAGCACAGGGATGCCGAGGCTGGAGCCGGGATGTGCCCCTGCAGCCGAGGAGGTGCCAGAACAGAGTGGCCTCRTTCCCTCCCTGCCCGGCACTCCCTGCACGGTGCCCAACCATTCCTGCTCAGCCCAAACCCCATCCCGTGTGCCCCGGGAGCACATCCAGGCTCCAGGTCTGTATCCACGGACAGGAGAATCTGGCAGCCTGGCTGCTCTGGCAGTGCTGTGGCACAGGGATGGGGCAGAGCAGCCCCGGCTGGTTGATGGCAGGGCCGGGCCCCTCGGGACAGGGGACGGCGCGGATGTGACGCTGTGGGATGCGGACGTGGCACAGCTCTGAAATGTGGGAGCGCGGTGAGGATGTGCTGGGGCGCGGTGCTGCCGGGATGGAGAGAGGGAGGGATGTCCATCCCTGCTCCAGCACCTCCGAGAAACCTCTGTTGATATAATGCAGATTCACAACCCAGCTCCTGTGAGCAACTGGGAGAAGTGGGGGCTCCCCGATGCCTTCTGGCTGCCCTTGGGAAGTGCCAGGTGACACCGGAGATGGCTCCAGGCACGGCCACCACCCACCGAGGTGGGCACAGCTSAGGAGGACCCACCCCAGCCCAGACACCAAGCAGAGATGGGGCCAAGGTGAGCGGGCAGTTGGCAACCAGAAAATAGGGATAGTTGGGAAAGGCATGTGCACCAGGAGCAGCTCCACAGGTCTGGAAAACCGGAGCAGTGTCTCAGGATGTTGCACTGGGCATTATGCATGCCCAGGTCAGGGGATTTTTTTGGTTMAAGATAAGAAAGGAGATCAATTTGATGCTCCTTTAAGGTCATTCTGTGTCCCCAAGTCTCTGCTCTTGGCCAGGGCAGAGCTCAGAGCTCTGGGACTCGGCAGGAATGAGTCACAGATTCCAGGATGGAATAGAATCCCATACTCCTGCCTCACTCTCTGCTTGGAGCCCATCTGATCCTGCATTATATCAAGGGCAGGTCCCCAATCCCGATCCCAGCAGTTCCCACACTCCAGCACAGCCCACAGGCTCCGGGCTGAGCTCTATGACAATGTTTTACACCCGTTCTTGTGGTTAAAATTTCTTTTTTTTTCATCTTTTTTTTTTTTTTAAGTTCTCATTTGTTTTTCTAAGAAAAAGCAACCAGAAAATAATTCGGAGTTTATACAAAACATCTTTACATTATTTCTTCCAAAAAAGACTAGTATTTACACAAACAAAATGGGGGG